GGGCTAAGGTTTGAAAATCTACCTTTCATTCTGATTGCGACTAACGAAAACTGCTCATTAAAAAAGAAATAATTCTGTAATAATAAAACTATGACCCTTTTTGAACTAGAAAAAACCTTAATCGACTACGCTGATAAGGACGATGCTTTAAAGCTTGGATTTCTATATTTTGTTGTTTTTGTGGTGTTGGGTAGTGAAAAACATGTGAACATTGACATCCGGTATTTGAAATTGTCGGAAGACCTTGAAGAGTTTTAGAAGTATCTATGGGATGCTATTTCATATGCGAAGACAAATGCCTTACTTTTGAGGGCACTTTGTGCAGATTACCATCGAGTAAAAGTGCCCCAAAAAACTATGAAAACAAAAAAATCTTAAAAGAAATCAAAGACAACAGCAAGTGGTAAACCAAGAGAGTACCATATAAAAGGTTTTGGCTTTGCACTTCAAGTGAGCAAATATCCATAAATTTATAAGTTCAATTTAATTTCTTTACTGTGATTGATGTTTTATTGTTCAAAATAGATTTGGGCTTTTAAGGTGTTTCCAAAGTTGGCTGCACTGCATTTTGTTGTGCACGAAGAGAATGGCCACATCCCCCGTGTATTTACTACAATGGAAGCAATACTTTAGCTCGTTTTCATGAGCTAATGAGCCAAGTATTCGAAAACTGTGAGGCTATTTTTATGTTCATAATGATTATGTTATGCTTATGAAAAAATAATAAGTCTACTTATATGTGGAGGTTGATGTGCAACTTCTCCGCCCAACTCTAATTGACAAGCAACAACCCTATTGGACTTGGGGTGACGATGATGAAAACACTTAAGAAATTGTTGAATTGTTTGCCGATGAGACCCAAGAAAATACCATCACTTCTGCTGAAGAAAAAGATGACGAAGTTGAGGAAACATCTACCCTTCCCTCGTCTTCTAAGGTGAGCATGACATTTTTGCAATATATGGGTCATATTAAACTTAATATTGCTGCTATATAATCAGTATATGTATATAGACAATAAGATAGCAATATAGTAGCAATATTTGGGTTATATTTTGTAAGTATTGTAACAGTTTCATTATAACTGTATGCATGGTAAACTCTCAACGACTAAGTTACACACTTTGAAGCATGAGTTTCAAACCATAAAAGATGAATTGGCAAAGGTAGCCAGTTCAAATCGAGCGCTTAGAAAGAGAGTGCGTGACTTTGAAGAGTCTTTGAAACATGAGAAGGAGTGTCAAAAAAATAAAAAGTGTGTGGAGGATTTCAGCAAGACCCTCGCTTCAATGGAACACTATTTTAAGCTGGAGATATAAGAGTTCAAAAAACGAAATGGTGGGTTGAATGAACATGATGAAGGACATGAAGAAGTGGATAATCCTCATATCAATGAAGGAGACGACGATGACATGCCGCCTGCGCATGAATATATTACTTTGACTACATAACTAGTAGAAATGGAAGCACAAGTCCCTGGTGATGGAGCCGAAGCCTTCGTAGCCATGCAAGTCCGAGAGCACTTTCTTGTATTGGTGCCCTCTCCTTGCGATGGAATCCTTAGCTTCTTCTGTCTGCCTTGCATGACTTTTGCCATGGAAGGTAGCACAACTCGACTTCGGACATATTCAGGAATAACTCATATTCCTTGAGGCTGTACTGGGTAGATGGTATATGTTTAAGCATCCAACCAGGTTTTTTGAATATAATACCTAGAAGTCTTAGAGTATACATTTAGTTTCAAGAAGCGGCAAACTGCAACTATATGCTTGCAAGGTAGCTACTCAAGCTAAAACTTCCTATAAGTACAATTGTTGTTCGTCAAATGTATAAGGCCGTCCATATCACCGTCTACAACATTATACTGTACATTATTTAGTTTAACGACATTCATCTTTACAGCATCATCCTACCTATTCCTCAATCTCTTCTCGTCAAAATTGGGGCACAATATTTTTGTGCATTTCAAAGCCACTCACAACGTTTGGTGAACCATTTGACAAGGAGATTAATAATTTCCCCTATCAAATGAACCACTAGCAGCATCCTTGCAAACCTAAGGACTAAGTTTATTGACTCCGCAATATTTGTTGTCATTACATTGTAGCGGCGTCCATCCATGTGAGCTCTAGACCACTTGTGTAACCCTGCATGTTCAAGATATTTAGCAACCTGTTCCTTTCCCTTGATCTTGCGAAAATAACGATCAAATTCAACCATTGAATAAGATTTCGCAGTCTGCTCAAAATGCATCAGCATTTTGTCACGCTTTTTCAACTTGCAAGTGTGTTTCATGTTCCCTTTCATATGATAAAAGCATATGCCATGTTGCGTTGTTGGAAAAACTTTGTTCCACACATTCTCTATGCTAACATTGTGATAAAAAATGATAACAAGATTAGGACACTCACCAATGGCTTCATGAAGTTTAGTGCAAAATCAATGTCATGATGCATCCGTCTCCAAATCCTCAATCCCAAAAGCAAGAGGATATATATTTCGATTACCATTGAATGCATTCGCTACAAACATAACACCCTTGTACTTAGATTTTAAATGAGTGGCATCCAAGACAATCATTGGGCGTATGGAAGAACGAAACCCCTAATACATGCGCCAACTGCCATAAAAAAAATACACAAAGTGATTGTTCTCACCAATATGGATGTGTCTCTTTGTGCCGGGATTCATACGCTCCAATTCATAGCAATAGGCTGATATGCCTCTTCATCTAATCCTCTAATTGACATTAGAGCTAACTCCCTTGCTTTCCAAGCTTTCAAATAATGAATGGTCAAACCAAAGTTGTGTTTCACATATCTCACTATGTCACTCAGTGTGTATATTATCCGAGAATCCTTCAACTTCCTTTTCAATGAAGTAGCTACAAGTGATGTGGTTGCTTGATGATGGTTGTCATTACCAATCTCAAATCACATTTATGGCCAGCTGTACACTTCACAATCATGAAGTTGTATTCTCCAATTCTCGATGCTCGGACCCGTCATGGGCATGGACGTTGACAACAAACCACAAGTAACATCTTAGTGTAAGAGAATTGCATCTTAAATTCAAAGGGGCCTCTCAATGCCACCAACCGTAACTTGGTCAATAAGGCTCCCTTACTAGAGAAAATTTGCCCAACTTCAATTTTCGGATTCCAATCACTTCGCGAATACCCTGTGTCCAAATATGCTTCTCCATCACTTACACAGGCCACATTGTATTGGTTATATTCACCCATTTCACTCAAATAATGTTCATGAGTGGGTTCAGATTCTCCTCCTAAACGCATTATTGGTAATTGGGTTGATGTATCCAAGCGGCCCAAAATAGGAAGGGCAAAGTACATTGACACTTCATTTGTTTCGATACCATTATCACCACTATGCATCTCCTCTACCTCGCTAAAATCAATCATGTTCATAAAATCTGTCCCCACATCACCTCCTACATCAGCGACATTTGTATTAATCTGAGTTACTTCATTACTTTCAACAATGGAAACTAAAGAACGACCCATCCGACTACTATATATCGTCATATGCATACTATCAACTGCATCATTTGTCAGTCCTCTATCTTCTATACTCACGAGTAAGGGAGCTAGTTTTGAAGGTGTTACCTCACAATTGTACTTTATAAAAAAAATTGACATCATCATCGTTCTCAATCTTTATGTGCTTCCACTCATTCGAGACCATCAAAACTGAGAAATTTAAGCAAACCTTGTCTTCCCTGATATTTGTATTACCAATCTTATGCACACGATCTAACAGTTCAACAAATGTGATGGTCTATGGTACTATTAACCCTTTTGAGTCACCCCCTTCGTATTTGCACATCTTCTTTAAGGTTACCCATTTTTCATTGTTGCAAACCAGAATAACAATTGTCCCCATGTTTTACCATGACAAAACAACATTTCATTAACACATGTGAAGCCACGAGCAAATCACTGCAATACAACCACAATAAACAGGCAATACAATGGCAATACAACAGGAATATAATGGCAATACAATAGCAACACAACAGCAATACAGCAACAATAACATAGCAGTGAATAAGGATTCATCACAATCAGACTATACAAATCTACTACATCAAATGAAAAATCCCAAGTTTCAAGATTCACATAGCCAGAGCAATTTAAATCCATTTGGTAAAAACCGAGATGGATGAGCATGAAGATTCAAAAAACATAACCCAAAGCAATCAAAATAAAACCAATTTCACATAAACCTAAGTAATAAAAAAAAACTAATTTCACAGAAACCCACAGAGATTAAGAAAATGACCATCAAGACTACCTATTGGAGGTTGGCGATGGAGTTGAGCTTCAAGGTTGCAAGCAGCTGCGACCTTACGCTATTTAGAAGACATACCTAGAAGATGGGGTCGAGGGGGGGTTTCACGATTCAAAACAGAGAGATGAGAACAATTCAGAATAGAGAGCGTTAGGAGAGGACCGGCTGCGAGAGCACGAGAGAGCTACGGGAGAGGGATAGAACTGCACCCCGAGAGAGAGAGAGAGAGAGAGAGAGAGAGAGAACATAGAGAGAGCTGAGAGAGAAAACAAAACTGACCAAAAGTGTTATCTAGCCAATAAGTGAGTAATAAGTATGTAAATATAAGTTATATTTGCAAAACATGTGGGGAAAAGGTGGTATGTCGAGATAAAATTTGGAAATGAGTGGCCTTAAGAACTATTTTCCTTTAAAAAAAATCTGAATTTTTTGGTAATTTTTTAGATTTTTTTCATAAAAATTTCACTGACGTCAGCACCCTCAAACAAACTGTTCGGGCTATCTTGCCTTGGGCTTACTCTGGACTTGGTGGCTGTTGCCCGGGCTGGATGTCACCACTGGAGCTGATTTTGGAAGACCAGGAGACTTTTTGCCTGGGCTGGGCTGTGCTCTTGGAATCCATTGGTCCAAAAAGTACCTCTCCGAACCCAATATCTTCCTTCCCCTTATGCCAAGAGACCAAGTATCAATCGTGGGCTCCTCATCAGCTATAGCGTTCCCTCATGCGCCCTCGATTGCTCGTCTGCTGTCGTCGGTCAGGTACTGTTCTGTAGCAGCGCCGTCGTCTATCAGGTACTGTTCTCTCCTCTGGAACTGAGTCGTTAAATCTTTCGTTCCAGATCCAGATCGATACCGTACCGCGATTGGGTACGCTCGATCCAGATCGAAATTTGTAGGGGGTGAGCGAATTAGGCAACTATGGTCTCAACGTGCCCCACGATGTTATCTTTGTCGCGCATTTCTTCAAATAGCTTGCCTTATCTTCCTTCAAGATCACCGGCAAAAGTAACCCGGATAAGAGCTACATCTGCGGATACAGGACACAGTCAACCACCCTCCTCTTCTTCGGAAAAAAAGAATCCACTTGCAGTTGTTTTGGATGCTCCTCGAACTATTTGGAAGGCAACATTACGACCATTGAGTGATTTTGGGTTTGGTCGTAGAAGCATATGGGAAGGTGGGGTGGGGTTGTTTCTAGTTTCTGGTGCAGTTCTCCTTGCACTCAGTTTGGCCTGGTTGAGGGGGTATCAATTGCGGTCTAGATTCAGGAAATACTTTGCTGTGTTTGAGTTTACTCAAGCTTGTGGAATATCCACGGGAACACCAGTGAGGATTAGAGGGGTCAATGTCGGCAGTGTTGTCCGTGTTAACTCTTCCTTGGAAAGTATTGAAGCAGTTGTTGAGGTGTGTTTCAGTATCATAAAACTGTGATAATGGAAATACAATATGTTTTTACTTTTTCATCTTGACAATGACATTACTGCTTTTGTAGGTTGAAGATGATAAAACTGTGATACCTCGAAACTCGCTGATTGAGGTAAACCAGTCAGGTCTTCTCATGGAAACTAGAATCGACGTTACACCTAGATATCCAATTCCCAATATTTCAGTTGGGCCTCTTCATCCTGAATGTGACAAAGAAGGTCTTATTGTATGCGATAGGCAAAAGATGAAAGGATATCAGGGGGTAAGCTTAGATGCATTGGTTGGTATATTCACTCGTCTTGGACGTGAAGTGGAGGAAATCGGTATTGCGAATACGTATTCACTTGTTGAACGAGTTGCTTCTGTTATAGAAGAGGCAAAGCCACTGCTTATAAAGGTGTGATGTGCCCTCTTATGTTTTCTTTAGCGATAATTGTCAGTGTTGATCTGGATAACAGTTCCCCACCCCCTTTTCATTTGCTTGCCGGGATCCATAAGCTTGTTGGTTCTGAAGAAAAAGATGATTAGAGCTATTCTTACCAGTTCTTTTCATTAGGATATCGTGGATGAGAACCTATTTGTTCTAGAATTTATTAGGGCCACATCTATTTGCTTCATAAAGGCAAAAAGTGTAGGGACTTCATCAGCCATTTGGCATCAGGCAAAGGAATCACACTTTCCTATGGCACACCTGTGCATTTGTGGAAGGTCCTGGAAGATAACATGTACATATCACAATCGGAAAACTGCAATAGGGATTTACATATCTTTCAATATCCTAAGACTTAGTAACTATTAAGTAACCTTTTTTCGTCTGATTTGTTAAATTAAAGTTGAAGTAGCCTAAACCCATCTATTTAACAATTTATTTATACTAATTTTGAAAGATTGCCCATTCAGGATGCAAGTCATCTGAGAAATTACAAAGCTTTTTGAAAGAATTGATGTCAGTTACAGATTCTAATTGTTTGACTGCATTTAAGTTGTCAGGGCATGAATTTATTTTTACATAGATAAGGTGGCTGACTCTCTGATAGATGAATTTTGCCATTAAGAGTACACAAATTTATCCCCTTTTAGCAGACTAGGCGAACCCATATACTCTGATCCCGTAGGAGTGTTAAGAAGAAAAGCATCAGTATGTAGCTTATAATTTTTAGATTTTAGGACTGCAACGTGTTTTAAGTTCCTTCGTGTTCAAGAAATTTGGTCCTCCCAAGTTGAACTTCTAATATGTTGACTGGCTGCCAGTGCCTATTTTTTGTAGCCACAATGGAAACATCATGGCATAAAAGGGCTCTGTATTTCAGCAAAAAGCCCAAAACTGTGAAATATATAGTTCTTTCTCCTTTCAGTGATATTACTGCTGTATTTTCTTCTTGTGATGTGCTGCTGGAATTGGTGTCAGTTTCACAATCACAACAATGGCTAGAAAATCCACTTTGCAGAGCAAATCACCTATATTAGCATGTGTATGTGTTGCAGTGTGTGTCTTTCTGTGTGCCCACATGCATAGGCATACATGGGGTTTGCACTTGTTTCACTTTTTAAATTTAATTCATCATCTGTACCATGATTTTAATATGTTCTCATGCACAATTATTTGGCTTTGATGTAGTGATTTCTCAGATACAAGCCATGGCTGAAGATGTTCAACCTTTGCTGGCTGAGTTTCGTGATAGTGGTCTGCTAAAGGAAGTTGACAGTTTGACCAGAAGCCTTACACAAGTTTCGGAGGATGTGAGGTGAATAGTCTCAATTTCTCTATATTTAGTTTTTTTTTTTTTTTTTTTTTTTGTAGTAGTTAGCTTATTAATATATTTAGTGATTCCTTGTCTTTATCTTTATTGCGATGTTTGTTTAAGGTGTTCTAAGTCAATGTTCTGAATAACGTTATGTAGCTGTAGAAGTCTCTGACTTTTAACACTCACATTATGTTTACTGATACTGGAATTATGAACAACACTCATTTATCCATGTCATAGTACAGAGTAAGGAGTTATGATTATTATGTTGGGGTGTTTAAGGTTTGATTTATGATGTCTTTTTCATATATCCCAAATAGACCTTCAACAGAACTCTATCGAAGGTTTAAAGAAATATCGGAAAGTTTTATATGGAAATCTCCCTCTGTCTCTCTCTCTCTCTCTCTTTCTCTCTCTCCTCTCTCCTCTCTCCTCTCTCCCTCGCCCCTTTTTCTCCTTTCTCTTTCTATCCCTCTCTCTGTTTTGATTAGAGGCTAATAGTAATGATATAGAGTATGATTTTCTGCAGAAAGGTGCATTCATCTATTATGACCCCTGAGAATACAGAACTGATTCAGAAGTCCGTGTACACTTTGATTTTCACCTTGAAGAATATTGAGGTGATCCTAGCTGCCGAGTGATTACATTATCCTGTGGAATTTTTTTCCTTTAATCTCTTTTATATCCATCTGTTTTCTTGTTTAATTGGCTTTATCATTCTTTCATCATTGCAGAATTTAAGCTCTGATATTCTTGGATTTACGGGTGATGAGGCTACAAGAAAAAATTTGAAGTTGCTGATCAAGTCTCTCAGCAGGCTATTGTGAAGACTGAAAGGTGGACATAGGATAGTTACTTACCTTAGTTGAGTAGATGTCTAGAAATGATTTCTTGCATCCATTATAGTGGGGACGGGTGAAAATGAAGTGTGGCTTTTTTACTTTTTAATGCACAAAAAGGTTTCAATTTGAGAGCTACATTTGCATTCTCTAATCTGGTCAATTCAAGTTTTGTTGATGTTTCCTTATAACCTAAGTAGATATAAAGTCGCTTATTCTTTTGTGCAGATGCCTGTTGCTATCAGAAACCATCATTCCAAGTTGAAAATGTTCATTCCAAATATTTATCTTGGAGCCTCTATGTGTTTGGCATGGGGCCCCCTTTCCCAATTGAAGTATGTTTCTGATCTGAAGTATTTTATGACAAGGAATTTTTCAGTTTGACATGGACGTACATTTTACAACTCAATAGTGCTTAAGTTGGCCTTATGCAAAGTATAACTAGTGGAGATGTGTTTATGTGGGCTGCCCCCAAATTTTCAAAAAGTATAGTTACCAAGAGTCATGTCTACGTGTGTGGCTGTCAGTCGTTAATGCAAGCTGGTTCTACAACGCAACGCAAAAGAGCATTGGGAGCCTTTTGCATAGCAACCCCCGATCCAACCCTCCGTCCACGATGCTTTTAACATCTCCACAATCAATGGTATGAATTTGAAGTCTTTATTTACATTTGTACTTATTAAGTTTGGAAGCTATGAAAACGAAGGGGGAACCGTCTCATTAGGTTAGCGATGCCCCATCTTTAATGAGGTGAGATCCCACGTATCTTTACCAGCTGATCTTTTGTACTGGGTTTGTCTGAAAAACAAAAGATGTACTTGAATATTTTGCATCACATGTTCACATATTGAGTGGCAGGATCTGAAGAAATGAAAGATTATGAGGTCATAGACTTTCAATCAATTAATGTGGATGCCGAATTTCGTTTTGTCCTCCACTTGTAACTTGTGTGACTTGAAACCAAGAAGGTGAATACCATCATTTATTGCAACGTCGGTTTTCCCCGGATCAACTTCCATATTTTTGTTTTTTACCAAACGGATCAACTTCCATTTGATATAGAGTAATATTAGAGATATCACGTGGCACTTATGGTGGTTCGCCATATTATCCAAGGTCACGTGACTTGGACAATGGTGTTTGTTCTAGGATCATAGCCCCCACTCTACTGCTCGAGTCAATGAGATGTTAGTTGGATTGGCTCAGGTCTTTAGAGCAACTCCAGCGATTAGCTGAGCCCAAGGCTAGGCGGAGAAAAAATAAAACCTAGTTCCAGCAAGGAGCCCAAGCCCGAGTTAGGAGTGGGACCCACAAAGAAGGGCTAGCCTGAAGGCCAGTTTGGCCCGAGCTCAAGCCCGAGAGCTCATGATGTCATGCGTGACGTCAACGCGACGTCAATTTTTTTACTATTGGCGCGTGCAGTGTACGCGCTAACGGTAAAAAAAATTAAACTCATGTGCGCTGACGTCAGCCTTGCGCAAACTCCAACAAGTAGAAGACAGGTGTCAAGCCTTGGGCACTCCTATTTGCTTCTCCTCCTCCAATCCAACGGCTGACATTTTTTTGGCAATAAAATTATGAAAAAAAATCGAATTTTTTTTAAAAAATACCAAAAAATTCTGAATTTTTTTTTCTATAAATACCTATCAATACCCTTCACTTTCAACACCAATCCTCATACATTTTCTTGTACTTCTACTATTATTCACTCTTTACTCAACATTTTCCTCTCTTTCAAATTGTATTTTTATTTCTTATATTTATAGCTTCTTCTATCGAAACTGGAGAGGCGTGGAGCACCATGGAAGATGTTTCCTTGTGTGAGGCTTGACTCCAAATTTGTCATTGTCCCGTGTCAGGCAATAAGATGAAATTTTTTTATATGTGGAAAAAAATTCATGCCGAATTTTGTGAAAAAAATTCAGGATCGACTCGTACAGAAATGGCATTGTCTAGTATGTGGAAAATTCTCAATAAAGAGTTGGGAAAATGGAGAGATGCCTTGGCAAAAGCGATGGACAACCATAGAAGCAGGAAAATCTTAGTAACGAGGTAAGTATTTTGTAATTTTCGTTTTATTAAGTTTAATGTCCTAATATATATATATATATATATATATTTTTTAATAATGTTTATTGCATTTTCAATATTTTGTTAATATTTTTGCATTTTCAATATTTTATTAATATTTCTTGCATTTTCAATATTTTCTTAATATTTCTTGCACTTCCAATATATTTGTAAGGTTAATTGCATTTCCATTATTTATTTTTTGTTACTTGCATATCCAATATATTTTAAATATTTCTTGCATTTCCATTTTTTTTTTTAATAGATGATTCAAGCACAGATGTGGTTTGGTGCAATTGGGCAAGGCAAAAAAAGTTTCAACCATCATGACTGTTGGTAGGTGGTGAAAAATTGCAAACGCTTCAAAATTATTCCCACGGGTCTCGCTGTTACGTTAAACGAGAGCCAATCCGTGAATCAATGACATCGGATTCACCTCTTGATTCCCCTATGAGTCAAGACTCACCCATTGAAAAAGAGCCGAGGCCCATTGGCTGAAAGGCTACGAAGGCAAAGAAAGGGGGTAATTCGAGCAGTAATACATCAAAAAATTTGGAGGAAATTGCAAGGTAGAGCACCATAAGAGTTGAAATGGAGCAGAAACGCCAAGAGAACGAGATAGCAATGCGAGCAGAATATGCACAAGAAAGGGAGTATTTGCACAAAAAATAGATGGACAAGACGGATCAGGAAACCATGGCGATGGATACAAGCCATATGTCCCTTAAAACAAAATAATTTTGGAAGCTAGAACAAAGGGATGTTATGAGAAGAAGACTTTTCCAGGATGATGGGTCTAGCAACACGGATTGGTTAAATGATCAAAACCATTAAATTAGTTGGCATACCTTTTATGTATTTGTATTTTGCATGTTTTCTATTAAAGTTGTTGTAATTTATGTATTTTATTTTAGTAGTAGTAATTCTTAACGACTTGTATTGGCTTTCTTTATTTAATAAACAAAGCATTCAATAAAATACCTTTTTATTCAACATATTCTATACATCAAACAAAACATAATTAAAAGGAAAAACCACAATCAAAGCATAATAAAAAATAAAAAAAAATTATAAACAAGGTACAATAATAATAACAAACCACAACCAAACCATAATAAATAAATAAACAACACAACCAAACCATAACTAAATAAAATCTAACCAAAGCATCTATGCTCCATCATTCATCTTCATTGCCTTTCACCGCCCATAGATGCTCCATCAAATCAAGTTGACGCCTTTCATGAATATATGAAGATTGCATCTCTGTATATCGATCTATCATACGGGTCATGAAACGACCATCCCTCACCAACGGATCCGACTCAAACAGTTCTCCACTTGGCCCCATGGGCCTTTCATAAATTCATGTCAAGGCCGTGTTCATGGGATCCAGTTCGTAGACCTCTGCAGCATCATAATCATACTCATCCTCCACAATCATATTATGGAGGATGATGCAAGTCATCATAATACTTCTGAGGACCTCCTAATCAAAAATACGGGCCGCACCTCGAATAATCAACCACCGAGTTTGAAGGATGCCAAAACACCTTTCGACATCTTTCTTGTATCCTTCTTGATAGGTAGCAAAAAAATTTTGCTTCTGGGATCGGGGATTCGGAATGGATTTGATAAATGTGGTCCACCTCGGGTAGATGCCGTCAGCTAGATAATACCCCTTCTGGTAGACTGTATTGTTGACTTGATAGGTGATATTGGGGCCTTGGCCTCTCAAAACATCGTTGAAGACCGGGGATTGACCCAACACATTGAGGTCATTTTGGGATCCGGCAACTCCGAAGAAGGCATGCCAA